TGAGTATACTATGAAGGATACCAATAGACTTGTTGAGGAATTCATGTTATTAGCTAATACATCAGTAGCTGAACAAATATTAAAGGTAACAATAATAACAATAATATATATCTTCATCTGCTACTCTTCTTGTTGTTGTATACTCAGCATTTCCCTAGTAATAGTGTCCTTCGTCGTCATCCACCTCCAAAAGAACAGCAATTGAAATCATTAAGATCATTACTTGAGAAGCAAGGTATTAGTTGCTATGATAGCGATGTTGGTAGTAGTTGTAATAATAATGATTATGATATTAGGTGTAAAGGGATTCCAGTTTGGTAGTAATAGAGAGTTATCTAGAAGCCTTAATACAGTATGTAATAAGAAGGATGATCCTTACTTCAATAGGTTAGTGAGGATAATGACTACCAGGACGATGAATCAAGCACAGTATGAATAATAATATACTAATAATAATCATATTCATCATCATCATTATTATTGTTGTTATTATTAGGTATTTCTGTACTGGTGAAGTTGAGAATGGTATGTTCTCACATTATGGTCTGGCAATGGGTTTATATACCCACTTTACTAGTCCTATTAGACGTTATGCTGATATTCTAGTAATAATAATAATACTATTTAGTCATGACTACTAAATAGTAATACCTAATAATGATTATTATTGTTGGTGTTGTTATCAGGTTCATCGTCTATTAATGGCCTCCTTGGGTATTAGACCACTACCACCACAACTTAATGACAAGACTGCTGTTACTGAGCAATGTGATAAGATTAACTTTAGACATCGTAATGCACAGTTTGCAGGAAGAGCATCTGCCGAGTTACATACTTATCTGTAATAATATTAATATTAATAAACAACAACAGCAACAGCAGCAGCAGTAGCAGTTGTATTACTATGATGATGATGATTATATGCAGATACTTTAATAAGAATGGTCCATGTACAGCGGATGCTGTTATCACTCGTGTTAGAGCAAGAATAGGAGGACTACGAGGAGGGGGTAGTCTACAGGTTGTAGTACCTAGATATGGTATTGATGGGGTATGTAAATTGGATGATAATAATAAAGATGATGATGAATGGATATGTGATGAGGATAAGATGATTGCTGTTAATGATAAGTCTAAGATAACTCTTGCTGTATTTGATCATATACAAGTTAAGATTATGGCTGATAATACTGACTTTAGGTAATATCATAATCATAATCATCATTACTGGTAGTAGTAATTACTATAACTACTATTCGCTTTATTATTATTATTGATATCATGTTTACGTATTGTAGATTCAAGACAGTAATGACATTCCTGGAGAAGTCCAAATCGAATGAGATAGACACATTCGAAGAAGCAGAGGCTAATAGGAAGAAGGTTGATAAAGAGATGTGTCCAGATAGGATATCAAGAGATGATAAACCCAATGTATAATCATCATAATAT